GCAGGAGGCGGCCCAGCGCCGCTCCTGGGCCAGCGGTGAGGCTGCCGGGGCACCCCGCGCTCCCTGACACCGTCACTGGGGGTTGTCGCCGGCAGGGAAGGGCTGGCAGGGGCCGGGGGCACGTGTCCCCTTTTCCTGGATGTTTGGAGCCGCCTTTGCCTGTGCTGTCCCCAGCCCAAGTGACCCTGCACTCACCCGAGCTTCTAAATCTCCTCCATTTCTCTTCCCTGCCGCTCTGTCCCACAGAAGAGGAGTCGACCGAGCAGACATCGCAGGTGAGGGGCTGGTGTCCATCCCTGAGGGTCCCCTGGCTCAGGAAGGAGGGAGGGCACTGTGAGTGTCACCTCTCCTCTGCTCTGGGGTGCCCACAGGCGTCTTCGCCCAGCCAGTCGTCCGTCAGGGAGAAGAACAGCACCCCGAGGAAGAGGAAGGCCCCTCTGCCTCCCCTGGGCACCTCCAGCCAGGTGAGAAATGGATCCCCAGGTCCTCACCTGGCCTGGCAGGTGCAGAGCAGCCCAAACCACTCCTCAGTGAGAGGTCCCTCATTGGGGGGTCTGTGCCAAAAAGCCCCCTCAGGCACGCCGTGGGATTTCTGGGGGTTCTTGTGCCAGGAGTTGGACTCAGTGCTTTCCGTGGTTCCCTGCAGGAGGACCGGGATGCCTACGAGGAGATCGTGCGGCTGCGGCAGGAGAGGGCCCAGTTCCTGCAGAAGATCCGGGGCTTGGAGCAGCAGGAGAAGCAGAGACGGGAGGTACCGGCTGCAGGGTCCTGGGGAGATGCTCCCGTGTCCCCAGGGAGAAGAGGGGACGGGCAGATGGGGACAGCACTCATCCCTCCCTGTTTTCTCCCTGGGTCCTGCCAGCGGGCGGAGCTGGATGAGAGCTCCCTGCGCTCCATGGAGAAGCAGGTGAGGCCAGGGAAGAGCTTGGAGGTGACCTCAGCTCTCCGAGGGGTCCTGGTGCTGGGAATGCCACCAGGACTCTGCCAGGAGCTAAGGGGACCCTATTTCTGTGTCCTGCCCTGCAGATCCGGGAGCTGGAGGAGCAGCTGGTGGCACGGGATGGGGAGAAGAACAAGCTGGGCAAGGAGGTGGAGGCTCTGCGGAGCCGCCTATCCTCGATGGAGGTGGGTGTGGGCAGGACACAGCTGGCAGTGCCCAGGGCTGGGGACAGGGGGGTCACCTCCACCCTGCACCCCCAGAATGAGAAGGAGAACACGAGCTATGACATCGAGACGCTGCAAGACGAGGAGGGGGTCCCACTCGAGTTCCCAGGTAGATCTTGCCAGCCTCCCAAGGACACCTTGGGGAGGTGGCACTGGGCAGTGGGGGCACAGTGGGCACAGCCCCAGGTCTCTGTGCCCTGCAGGAGCGGAGATGTTGCTCTCCAAGAAGACACTGAGCCCCTCGGCCGAGGAGCTGCTGGCCACACTCCAGGGGCAGGTGCAGTCCCTGACCGTGCAGAACAAGGAGCTGAGGGAGAAAATCCAGGCACGTCCCCCTCTGTCCCTCCGTCTGTCCCTCTGTTCCTTGTCCCCTGGCCCACAGCGGCCTCACGGTCTGTCGGCAGGTGCTGGAGAACTACGAGCGGGACGAGAGCAGCCCCGCTGCCCCGGGGGACGTGGTGCCCGCCAGTCTGTACCAGGCCCTGCAGCGGGAGCTGGAGCGGCTGCGGGCGCAGGGCAGGGAGGCCACGGCGCGGGCCGGA